CTTTTAGTCCAGCCCTTTCCAGCCACTGGTAAGATTTCCCAGTGTCAGCCACCTCAGCTATCTGTCAGTGGTACATCTCATGCAGGGTCTTGTCTTATCATGGCACTTCCTCTGCTTCCTCCCACGTCTGCTGCTGCCTTAGGCATTCTGTCAGCAGCTCATCTTTGGGTGTCATCTTACTAATGTATTCCTGGATGCTCTAAGTTTCATCCAGGACAGTGGCTTTGACACTTACCAAACCCACCCGCCCTCTTTCTGGCTGGTGTATAGTCTCTGGGTGTTGGACTTGGGGTATAAGCCTCCATACGTTGTGAGGAGCTTCCAGGTCTTCACACTGACAGCCTCCATGTCCTCCTTTGGCCAGCTCACTATACGAACAGGTTATATGATGACTGGCAGGGCATATGTGTTGATGGCATGGATCTTGTTTTTCCCATTGAGCTCACTCTTCAGGACCTGTCTTATTCTTTGTTGGTACTTGGATGTTGTTGTCTTCCTTGCCTCCTTATCGTGGTTTCCATGTGACTGTGAGATACCAAGGCATTTGTAGCTGGTCTGTATGCCTGCTGTGTGGCCTGCTGATAGTTCCACCCCATAAGTCTTAACTACTTTCCCTCTGTTTACTAGCATCCGGCCACACTTCTCCAGTCCGAATGACATCCCAATGTAGATCCATGTCAGGGGGATCAGCAAGTCGATGTCACATTCACTCTTAGCATACAGCTTGATGTCATCCATGTAGAAGAGGTGGCTGATGATAGTTCCACTCTTGAACTTGTATCAGTATCCGCTTCTTGTGATTATCTGGCTGAGGGGGTTCTACCCTATGCAGAACAGCAGTGTATCACCTTGGTATATCACTTGGTATATACACAAGCAGTGTATCACTTGGTGGCCACTTGTGCAAGCTGTCTTGAATTGACTTCCATTGTTGTCTTCCACAGTCCCATTGAGTTCTTGAGGAAGGTCCTTAGCATCCTGTTGACTTTGTATAGCACCAGGCATTCACAGATCCATGTGTGTGGCATTGAGTAATAGACTTTTCTGTAGTCAATCCAGACTGTGCTCAGATTGGTCTATCTAGATCTTGAGTCTTGGGCAACTACTCTATCTATGAGCAACTGGTGTTTTGAGCCTCTGGTGTTGTTCCCAATGCCCTTCTGAACTGTGCTCATGTACTGACCTGTATTGTCCTGTAGCTTGGTGGCTGTGATGCCTGATAGGACATTGGGGGAGGCAAGTTATTGACCGGGAGTTGGACGATGCTGTTCCCTTGTGGGGGTCTTTCATGATCATGATTGTCCTACCTTGTGTTAGCCAGTCTGGGTGGGAATGTGATGCTAGCAGCTGGTTCATCTGTGCTGCTAGGCATTCATGCACTGCTGTTAGTTTCTTTAGCCAGTAGGTGTGGATCACGTCTGGCCGGGTGCTGTCCAGCTCTTCATGTTCTTGACCCATGTTAGATGTCTGCTACTGTGATGGTGACTGGTTCCTGTGCTGTGGTTTGCTGTCAGGTCCTGCAGCCACTTTGCACGGGTGTTATATGTCTTCTCTTTCTCCCATGTTTTTCCAGAACTGTTCAGTTTCTGCTGTTGGTGACTCTGCTGTTACTGTATTGTTGCACTGCAGTTGGAAGTACACCTTGGATGGTTCTTTGGAGAACAGAGCATTTATCTTCTTGGCCACTGCTTCTCTACTGTATCTTAAATGTTTAAATGTTTGTTTAAAATTACTTACATTTTTTCAATTGCATTTAATGCTCAATAATGTTAATATTTGAAATTTTTTACATTCTTAAATTTATTTTTCAGAATGATTTTTTAAAAAATTTGCAAAAAAAGTACAAACATTGAATATAGCAAAATCAAATGAAAAAAAGCAGCTGTGTTTCAAATCCCTTTCAAATAAAAATGTGTTTGTGTTCATAAACATGTTATGTAACAGAGATGGTACTTTCTATAATTTCAGATTTTATGAGGAAAATAATATGTTTTATTATCATTAAATAGTAATAATATTTAATATTCATTTTGATAGGTGAAGTTGTTGACCAAAGAATTAGAAGCTTTGAAAGAAGCTGGAAAGAAAGCAACAGACTCATTGAAAGTGGCAGAAGCAGCTAATTTGGAGCTTGAAAAACAAGTCAGATGCAAAGATTGGGAAATAAAAGACCTTACAGCTGTAAAAGATGCTCAGTACTGTATCATTCAACTCATAAATAAGAAAAAAAACATTCTGTCCATTAACATTCCTTCTTTTCTTCCAGCTTCAGTTGTTTCCTCCTCCTCCTCCTCCTCCTCCTCCTCCCCCCCCATACTTGGAAGAAGAAAATATGGGCTTTTTAACTATATTGCATACTAGTTACTTAAAGATGTCTCAGAGTTAGTGCTTGCTTCCAGAATCTGTATGTGTCTGTTTCTTTAGATTCTGCCAATTAGCTAAACAGGGTTCACCTTAATCCCATGTCAACATATTGCTCCTAGATTGTACATTCTATGCTTATAAACTCAGACAATTTCAGACGGAGTTGTATAGTATTTAATTTCAAGTAGGTATGTATAGGATTGCAGTTTTTTTCATTAGAATTAGATGGGATGTTCCACTACAGCAAAGAACAGAGACACATATTTTCATATCTACAGAGTTGTGTATGAAATAATTGTCCCCATATAAAATAGAAAACATTACTTCTAGACACAATATATTCTTACCTGCATGTATGATGCAATCACTTTTTGTCATTGATTAAGTTGAATAAGATGAGAAAGTAAGATACAAAGATACAAGAATAATTTCATCTTCATATGGGAACCATACAGCTAAAAAAATCTAGCCCAGGGTAATAATATATATTTGAATTCTGCAAGTTTAACCTTTTAATCTCCTTGAGGTGATTTATTCTTCATCAGAATAAGTGCTGATTTCATCCCTATTTTCTTAAAATGTTCTTTGGCAATTATTTATCTTCAGATTTTTTCATAATTAGGAACAGGCTTGATTATTTTACACATGTCTCTTTGTATAAAGTATATTATTTTACTTTTCTCCAATGTTTGACAATATAGGATGCAAGATTTAGAAAGTAAGCTTGCTTCAGTACAGCTCGGCTGGGAAAAAGAAAAAAAAACATTTGAGAGAAAGTAAGTTTTTCCAACAGATGCTCTTGCTTTATAAATATACTATGTTCATTGAGTGTGTTTTCATCTCATTAAAAGTGGAGGATTCCTTTTAAAAAAACAAACTATTATCATATTGGTTTGTCTGAAGGCTTTTCTTGCTGGGCTCACTATTTAACCTTAGTATTTGGGAAACAAATTTCCATGTTGCAGTTTTAAAAATAATTTTTCCCACTTCAGAAAAAGAAGTACAAATTGGCACTTAAATTTACTATAGATTGAGTGTGTGATATCTGTGGGTTCCTGTGCTAGCCAGGCTCCTTTATCCAATCATTGCTGGATATACAGTAGTAAGCCTTATTAGTCTTTTCCAGTAAAAATAAAAATGAATCCACTAGCATGTTAAAGACTATAAATGTTTTAGGGTGTCAAAATATTGTTTAGGCAAGGAAAATATGTGAATCTTCACATATAATCTTCTGTAATCTTCAAGCCAGGAAAGAGCTGAAATGTTTGTGGGGAGATTGGGAAGGTATCTACTTTGCAATTGGGACTCTCCACCTGCTTAGTAAACTTCTTTTCTGGATTAGGTTATCACTCCCTAGCATCAGTCTTATTTAGTGTTCTGTTTTCTAAAAACCCAAATAAGCACGCAAGAGAAAAAAAGTAGCTAAACAAATAAACTTTACTAAAGAAATCAGATTGCATGAAAAGTTTCCAAAAATGAGTATTTTAAAAACATTTAGTTTATACAAGCTTGTTTATACAACATTTAGTTTCTCAAGCATTAACTCTGATAGCTTTACAATATCAAACAATCTATTCTGGAGAGTGTGCATAGCACAGTTTTTGTAATCCCATTTAGCTAATTTAAAAAGACTTAATTGGGGATCCAATTAAGCATTAAAAACCAAAAGAAAAGACAGTATCTTAACTTTCCTTCATAGGGTTGTATATCAGATGAGCATATATTAAAGGGATGACAAACTACATCTGTTCAATCTCCCTCTTCTATGCAACTAATGAAGGTGCAGGAGTATTGGTCTCTTGCATTTGCACATCCTAATCACAAATTCAGGCTCAGTGTCTATACCCTCCTTGTTCAACTTAATTTTATTTGTTTATAAAGATACAACTCTGTGTGCCAGGGTAAAGAGACAGGTCTTGATGGCCTTCCAGAAGGCTAAAAGGGTGGGGGCCTGCCTTGTGGAACATGGAAGGGTGTTCCACAAGGTAGGGGCAGCTACAGAAAAGGAAATAGAAAAATAAAATAGAAAATAGAACTTTATGTCAATTCAATGGCATCAACTCCCTAATTTGCACGCTCCCAAATTGGCACCTACAGGATACCCAACCTTTTGTATGCAGAAGGTGCTGTCATTATATCCCAAACTCCACTGGGCTCAGAAGACGAACAGTGAGCCCTATCCTCTACAGGAAGCAAAATAGGCTCACACTCAGGTATTAAAAATACAAATTTATGGTCTTTGGGAAAATAGCCAAACAAAAAATTTGGATTATAGAGAGGAACATATCTCTTGGATGTATCTTGGAGTGGTTTTGGGGACTAATGGATCATGGAAAGCACATTATGATTATGTATCTCAGATGATATTACTGTCTTCTGCCACTATTATTCTTGTTTCTTATTATTCTTGTTTCTGTAAGGGTGGAGAGTTAATCTGCTACCTGACACACTTAAAGCCAAAACCCAAGCTCAGATTTTTTTTCAGAGCACTGATGAGAGTCTGTGCTACAAAGGATATCACAGAGGTGGTACAAAATAAATTTTTGAGACCCATTCTTGCAGCCCCAAGATGTGTGGCCAATCCACTGTTAGCCCTGGAGCAAGAAAGCTCAGAATACAGATTAAGGCCTAAAGGCTAATAATTAAACATTGGCTAAAGATTCAATTTTTCCCACTAGCCAATTAACCCTTGTATTGGGAGAGAACCATTCTCCAATCTGAAAGAATGCTATAGACTTAAGACTTTCAGCTGGGTGATTTCTTACCCCGGGTTATGAAAAAACCAGACCTGTACTCTCTCATAGGAGAGATGACATGGAGTACCAATTGGAGATCAGTAAGATGCCCCAGAAAGCAGAATCTGGATTTTAGGGGGTTCTTGGGTGCCAGCCAAATATTTAGCATTTCTAACCTTCCCCAGACTGAGGAAATACTTCTTTGGGGCAAAGCATTTTGTGTTACTATCAGTGCTGTTAATGGGCAGATATTCCAAAGTCGCCTTATCTGATGAAGTTTGCCCTTGTGGTTCAGAAGAGCTTGAAACAATTGTTCATGTACTATTGTATTGTGATTTCTACAGGGACATATGGAATTTTGCCTTCTCCGCAACAGCATCTGGGATGAACAGATCACTATTACATTAAGCTCAGTTTCCAATCCCAGAGCTAGCATTACTGTACTGTGGCTAAGTTCTGTGTTGCCATGATTAAAACATGCCATCAAAAATTGTGTTCCTGATTATTATGTTTTTATGTGTATCATTAATCATTATTATACTAAGCCCTAGTACCCAAGTGTGACTCTCTCAGAGATCTTTGGAAGGCAAGGTAATCAAAACTGGCTTCCACCTGCAAGCTTGAAAGGTTTTGCTGTATGTATATTAAGTATATTTTTGTTTTATGTTTTTTCTCCTTTGTAGCAAGGATTGCAGCACCCCAAAAAACTGTCTTTTTGTCTTCTTTTAAAGGCATGCTGCAATAGATCAATTCGCCAGAGAAAAGGATGCAGTGATCATTTCAATGAAACAAACCCATATTGAACAAACACACAAATGGAAAAATCAAATCCAAGAACTTCAGACAAATAAGGAAACTTTGGAAATGAAACTATATCAGGCTGAATGTAGTTTTATAGACCACTTGAGAGAGAAAGAGACTATCATTGAAAAGTAAGTGTGGCTTGATTTGTCTTGGTCTGATTCAGTCTAATGTGGTTTACTATTATGTGATGGTATAATCCATTCTATATGGCTGTTTATAGGAATAGCATTGTATTTTAAGTAAATACATGTAAAAACAAAATTTGTAAATACCTGAGGCAAAGATCAGTGTGAGAACCTGCTGTGTTAAGAAGTTACTTTCATCAGGCCACTCCACAATTTAGCTGAGAATAGCAGTTTTGAACCCTTCATCTATTTATACTATTTCCATTCAGGCTATTATGATAAGACTAACTTCCTGTTTAAGGGCCTTTACAGCATTATACCTGCATTAGAGCTGATTATTAGAAGATCTGTGGTATCACATTAAGAGCTGATACCTAAGCTTTTATTTTTAATAACAGCGATATTTTCTTTTTCATTATGTATCTTTTTTTTTCCTTTTGTGTTATATCTTTTTAGATTGGACTTTGAGGGTAACTCTATTTATTGATGTATAAATCATTGTGAGAGTATTTCTGTGTGAACAATGGGATAAATATGATTTCCCTAAACAAATCAATGAACAAATCCAGTCTGAGTGCTGCTCCAACATTTCCAAACCAGCAGGGTGAAAATTAAGATGGAAAGATATTGTATCTCTCCATCCTTTATTGGATTGTCTCAACTGTGAAGACTCCTCAGAGGTGGTTCAGTGCACTAGATTATGAACATTATTTACATAAAAATCAGTATTCTATAGCCCAGAACCCTCTGCCTGGCACTCTGAAACAGATTGAGAGCCTCTCATTTGGGAGGGGTGGAAGGATTTGAATTCTTTGGATCCTAAGTTCCTTTCAACCTACTTGCTACCCAACTATAATATACCTTCTTGAGGTCCTTAGAAAAAAGCTAATAAAAGAGGCAGAGAGGAAAACAGGATATAGCTTCTGTCTCCATACTCAGTGGGATAAATAGGATCAATTCTATAGTTCTGCTTTAGGTTCCTAGGGGCCAAGGAATTATGTCTTAATAATATGTAAAATAATATGTAGCAAATTAAAATGTTCTGGAGGGCTTTGGTTGTTGTTTTTTCCTAATTTCTAATGTGTATATATACAGCTTTAAAGAATATATACAAAGGACAAAAATATCAAGAAAGGATTCTTGGGACTTTCTGTATAGAATTAATACTAAGTATTTTGTTACAGACTTCATTAATGACAGAGCCGAAGTTTCACACACCAGTAATGGAGCATAATTGATACAGGGTACAAGTGTCTTTGATATGTGTTTGCTTTCAACTTAAAGACACTGAGCAGCTCTTAAAAGTTCTTAGAATAGCCTGAGAATGTGGCCTTTAATGAAGAGAGATCAACTGAAAGTCTTTGCTCATACTTCATGTACTCAGTGGCAGGTCAAGTTGTGTCAGGATGCAGACTTCTTGATTAAGAATACCATTTATGAAAACAATATGCTGTATATTTCTTCTTTGCTGTGCACCATAGTTTTCCAATCAGAACTATAATTCAAATCTTGGTAATATTTTCTCTTCAGGGAAGTATCTCTCTAATATGTAGTTTAAACAAAGGTCAAATGTAAATTTAGATACATTATGTAAGCATATTTTTGCCATTTACTGGGAATATATTTTGATATTTTGTTGTAATAGAAACTTTGTAGTTTTCAGATCTCATTAATGGATAGGAATTGTACAGTCATGTACTATCATATGTGAATATACCACCTCCATAAAAATCTGCCCCCCAGATCTTTGCTGGGGTGGAATTCCAACTTCCTTCAACTTTTTTTTTTATTTTTTTTTTAGCAAGGATGGGGTTTTTTCCCCCTTTCAAATACAACTAAATGGAAATAATGTTTGATTCAGTTATGCAGGGAAGATATAA